AATGAAAGACACAAGTAGCACGGCAGTGGACACGATCGAAAGCAGAAGGTTAGAGCTACGTACACTTCCAATCCCGACATTCAATGGAGACGTCTGGGAATGGGACAACTTTTGGACTTTATTTGACACAAATGTGAACTCTCAGCCAATGCCGGAATTGTTCAAGTTCAACTATCTACACGCATCGAAAGGGGAACCCTTCCACGCCGTAAAGGAGTTTTGCGTGTCGTTAGATAACTACAGGAAAGCGGTAGACTTCCTGAAAGACAAGTATGGAGACAGGGAAGAATTAGTCAATCGGCTCTATGATAGACCAGAGAAACTCCAACACAGCACATCTTCAGTCAAAGAATAGCGGATTCTACTGGAACATATCCAAGTAATAATTGCACAGCTCAAGGACAAAGAGGAACAAGTAGATAATCAATGCATTATCAAACAAGTTCTTTCGAAATTTCCAAACAAGTTACAAGGAAAGTACTGGGGCGCAAGTACCTACATAAAGGAGACTCCTTCGATATGGAAACGCTTTTACAGTTGTTAGAAGACTTTATTATGACTGAAAAAGTGCTGCTATTTACGAAGGAAGTAACTACTGCACACGATTCTCCGCCCCTAGGACCACCAAAGAAGAAGGCGGAAGCTTTCAAACATGTGTGCATGTATTGTAAAGAGGAGCATAAATCTATGGCTTGCACGAGGTATCGCACGCCACAAGCTCGCTCGCAGTATCTTCGAGACCATAGACTATGCTTCATATGTGCATCTCCACGGCATACTACAACAGAATGCAAGAAACGTTTGTGCTTCATTTGCCAAGGAGCTCATCACACATCCTGCTGTTTCAAAGGCATGCCTAAGGGAAATAGTCATGTTATATCGACTCAGCAACAGAAGGAGAGAACACAGAAGGGGGCCAAAAACTCCCAGGGGCGCCAACATACGCTGATCCCTTCGCAAGTCTCAGATGTACATCAAGTAACTGAGCATGAAGAGGAGGACGAAGCGGCAATCTGTGGGCTCCACACAACAAGGGGAACGTGCAGGGATAAGAACACCTACTTAACAACCGGGATCATCCATGTAATGAACCCAAAAACAAGAAACTTACGCAAGGTTGCCGTGTTATTAAACATAGGCGCTGAATTATCCTTCATTGACAAGAAACTCGTTGAAGAACTGCACCTACCGACACTAGGAACGACAAGGCTACGCCTGAGGACGTTTGGATCCGAACAGGTTAAAGAAAACCTGGTTGGTAAGGTGAAATTGGAAGCTTGGGACGTGGATGGAAGGCAATTTACGATAGACCTTTTCACATACGATGTGATAACCAAGTCTTTTGAAACCCCTTCTCTATCCGGCAAAGATATCGCACATTTGCGTGAGAAGCAGATCCCACTGGAAACGCTAGAAAACAAGAGAATCATGAAACCACATCTTGCTAGGATGCGACAAGTTGTGGTCTTTCCTCGAAGAGGACGAACTCCACATCAGTTTACCCTTTGGCTTCCACTTGATCGAATCACGATTAGGCTATCTGATATCAGGGCAGTCCACACCGCCTTCGACTGCCGGCTTAGATGAAGTAGACAGATGGGACGGTTATTGGACCTTAGAGACACAAGTAAACACCATCTCAATCATGGACGATGGCGACCAGGAGCAAGAAAAGTGGGAAAAGTTCTGGTCCTTGGAGGCGGATGGCACGAAAAGATTTTGTCACTCAGAAGACATCGAAAGAAATCTGGTAGACAAGGCTGTTCTGCAGCGATTTAGAGAGACGATAGAGAAACGCGAAGACGGTTACTACGTCCGTCTACCTTGGAAGGAGGACATTATGGGTTTGCCCGACAACAAGGCTATAGCTCAACGAAGGCTAGCTAGCTTGTGGAGCAGTCTTCGAAAAGACCCAAAGCTGCTGCATCAGTACGACGAAGTGTTTCAAGATCAGTTGAGTCGAAACATCCTTGAGCATGTTACACATGAGCAGAAAGAGCACAAGCACATACACTTTCTACCTCATCAAGGTGTTATTACACCACACAAGACGACCACAAAACTGAGAGTCGTGTATGACGCCTCCACATTATAGAAACAGTCTTTCACTTAACGATGCCTTACACAGAGGTCCAGTCATCCTGCCACAACTGTTTGGAATACTATTACGCTTTCGAGTCGGACGCACTGCAATGATATCCGATGTAGAGAAGGCGTTCTTACAAGTTAGACTGCATGAAGAAGATCGCGACGCTCCAGATGCCTATGGCTTCGAGATTGCACAGCACCTCCGACGCAAAACAACATTGTGATGTTGAGATTTACGCGAGTTCCGTTTGGCCTAAATGCTTCTCCTTTCCTCTTCGCAGCAACAACGCACTATCACTTAGACCAATACAAAGAAGATTACGAGATGGTAGAGGAGATCAAGGACAATCTTTACGTGGACAACTTGATAGTCACGGTAGACACAGTTGAAGAAGCCTCAATCTGCTACCGGAAAATCAAGCAAATGTTCGAAGAGCTCAGCATGAATCTTCGCGAATTCATGAGCAACGAAGAACAAGTGAGGAATAGAATAACGAGGAACGACAGGTCGTCAGAGTTTGCGCCGAAGGTCCTGGGAGTACGGTGGAACTCCCTAACCGACCGCCTTGAAATCTCATGCAGCGTAAGCTCACCAAATAAGCTTACCAAACGGGCAGTCACAAGTGCAATAGCCTCGATTTATGACCCCATGGGCTGGATGCTACCACTAGTACACAAGTCAAAGGTGTTTCTCCAATCATTATGGAGAGAGAAGGTTGAGTGGGATACTACGTTGACTGAAGGGCACTTACAAGAATGGCAACTGATATACAACAATATGCAAGGATTTAGTAAGGAAATACCCCGCTTCATTATCAAAAAATGCAAAGGTAGACTTAGCAGCTTTTGCAGATGCCAGTGCTGAAGCCATAGCTACGTTCGTCTACCTAAAGTCAGAAAGCGCAGTTCATCTTCTGCTGGCAAAAGGGAAACTCCTTTCAATCAAATATGAGGCAACAATCCCGAAAAAGGAATTGAATGCCGCTACATTAGCCATGAGGGTGGTGAACTCGGTAATAACTCAACTGCAAACCATTATTGCAGTTCAGAGGGTATATCTCTTTTCCGACTCCGAGATCGTCTATCACTGGTTGAAGAATAAACCACCCAATGACGCTGGAGTGATGGTCTTCAATAGGTTGAAAGAGTTCACCGAAATCGACGGCCACCTAAGAAGTAAAGGTATGAAAATTTACTACGGTTATGTTCCCACGGAACAAAACCCAGCGGACTGCGGAACAAGGGGATTGACTGAAGACCAACTGAAAGACCATTTCTGGTGGACAGGACCAGCATTCTTAAAAGATCCACCAGACAGCTGGCTTGGGAGTCAAAAGTTATTCCAAATGACCAGGGAGGCCGATAATGCAAATTTGCCTCTCCAGTCCGCACTTTACAACCAAGCTGTATCAAAGGCTGACGAACCGCAATACTCCGACATTTTCGAAAATTCAAAACGATACCCACTCCCTACGATCAAGAGAATAACAGCAACAGTCCTGCGGTTCATAAAGAACCGTAGTAAGCGGGATCAATCGAGGATCCAACGACAACATCCATCTTTCGCCACTCCTCAAGAAGTTCATTGAGCACAAAACAGAGGACCGTGATGGAAAAAAAATCGCGATAGCGGGAAAGATACCCCTAATCGGCCATACAAGTACCCCAACCAAAGCGACTTACCTGAAGTAATTATTCGAATACATCAACAAGCGTTCTGTACTAAAGCACTACTGAGATCAATGCCGCAACTTAATATAAAACAAGACGAAGAAGGCCTCAGTATGCCACGACCGAATGGGGAAAAGCTGCTTGTACGATACAGCAAAGTTCCCTTACATCATTCTCCAAAACTCTTGGCTTTCAGAGGCGATAATCCGTGATAATCACCGCAGAGGACATCCTGGCATAGGCCACAGAATAGCACTCGTCCGTCAAAAATTTTGGATGCCAAAATTACGCGCTCAAGTCACCTGCATCATTAGACGATGCGTAGAATGTCAGCGCTTCAACAATCGGCCATACAAGTACCCCAACCAAAGCGACTTACCTGAAGTAAGAGTCCAACAAACAAGTCCTTTTCAACACGTTGGGCTAGACTACTTCGGACCGATGACAGTAAAAGGTAACGAAGGCAGCACGAATAAGTGCTACGGAGCGATCATCACTTGCATGGTGACTAGACTCGTCTACCTAGATGTAGTAACGGATCTCTCCACCATAGCGTTCCTGAACATGCTGCGACGGTTCTTCGGGAGAAGAGAAGTCCCGAAGTCCATTACAAGTGACAGCTCCCACATTTCTCTTGGGAGAGGAGATCTTAACAGGTACCAAGAACCTCCATCACGAGGCAACGGTCGCAAGGGAGATTAGCGACCGCGAGATCGAGTGGAAGCGCATCACTCCGTTCGCACCTGGGCAGGGAGGGTTTTATGAGCGCCTGATAAGGTCAGTTAAACATGCGCTCTATAAGACTTCAAAAGGGTCGACACCTACGTTCGAAGAAATGTCGACCACACTTGTCGAAATTGAAGCCCTACCTACTCAACACAAGGCCGCTGGTCTACAGTTCAGATTCATGCAACGAAACCATCATCCGCCCCATCGACTTCCTGCAAAACAAGATCACCCTTAACTATCCAATTGAAACCGCTAGTTCAGACATGGGTGATTCTCCTTATAGGTCACCTGAGGAACAAGTGGCACTTCGTACAAAGCTACAAATTATTCAAGCACTGGAAAACTCCTGCAAATCTACGGACAAGTTCTGGAGCATCTGGAGAGCTCAGTATCTCACAGCGCTCCGCGAAAAGCACAATTTAGAAGTAGGACACAATAGATCATGAGCGCTTCCTCGGGAAAACGACTGTGTCCTTATTACGGACCCCATTCAACCCAGACAATCTTGGAGGATGGGCCATATAACCAAGTTGGTAACGGGTGAAGATGGTGAAGTAAGAGAAGCAGGCGGTAACCTTTCCTCAGGGAAGCAAATACGTAGACCTGTAAACCTCTTGGTACCTCTTGAGCTAGAGGACAGGACGGCAAAACCGATGTAAACAGGAATCAACCTCAGCAAGAAACTTTTCAAACCAGATACAACTTGAGGTCCCGAGATAGAGCTGGTCGCGACGTGGAAAGCAGCGCTTTGCACTTGCAAATGTCTCCATATGTCACCCTACTCATGCTATGTTTGTGTAGCTGTGCTGTGTCTGTCTCGCCACAAGTAATTTCGTCAAAAGCCAAGCCCATCGCAGCCGTAGATTTACCTCTGTCTTTAGCACACGGAAAAGCATGCATCAGAAACAAGTGTAGCGAAACTAGTTGGAGTTCTACTTGCAGCACAATTAGCAAATTCAAACTGCCTCTTTTCAGGATGTCTCTCGAAACACTCGATGAAGAAGTCACATGCATAGCTGTTATCACCGGAAGCCGCTCGGAAACGGAGATGAGAGAACACACGAAACTGACGAAAGAGGCGATCTCGCGACAAGTTTCCACGGCGCTCTCCATCGAAGAGGATTACGAGCACCTCAAAAAAGAACGAGTGTTTTAAGGAAAGCCACGAGAGCAGCTGATAATTACCGGAAGACTATACCCGGCGGCGAAAGTCAACAAGGAGCGGTATCTCGCTCTCTGCACTCGCTATTCACTCCTCAACAAGTGCTACACTCTCAGTCATCCAGAAGGGCAAGAAGAAAATGATTGCAATTTTGACGATTCCGCATTGCGAGAAATGAGCGCACACATAAAAAGAATGGACAAGCTTATCAGAACAATTGAGAAGCGGAACCACATTGCAGAAGGGGACCTTCGCTACACAGCGAGGCGGACAAGCGGATTATCAGAATCCTCACTGACAAGATAGCCGAGCGGGACGAGGAAATCTTCCGTTTGAAAGCCACGATTGCCAGCCTAACTTCGGCACAACATCCCGTCCCGTACAACGCGAGTTTTGCGTGTCAAGTTGGCCCCGAAGTTTCCAACGCTGAAACCCAGACGGAGGTACCTGAAGTAGTGGATGTCGGGCCAGATCCGTTAGCAAGGTGGACAGCGAGATGGTGGACATACCGTGTAAAAAAGACGAATCACTCATTTTGGTAGATGAAGACAACACGAATGAAGACGAGTCGATGGATGACGAGCAGTATCTGGGACACCTCATTCAAGAAGTTGAAGCTGGCGAGGAGATTGAAGGCCTACGAAAGAGAGAAGACGAGGCAAGTAAAAGAATCGATAAGAAACAAGAAGAATGCAGGGCTCTCCTGGAAGATATTGATTAACTAGAACAAATTTTGAGGAATTTCCCCTATCGGATGTACGGAGAAGCACCGGACGGAACGCACGTATTTCTACTTTGCGCGTTTTGCAAAGCTCTTGATCAACACTATTCTGATTCGTGACCATACATCAGAAATGGCAACGAACGCTACGAGCGAGTGCGAAGGGAAAATCCATGTCCACGCTGTCTCGAATCGTGCCCGCCAGGGAGATCAATTTCGAAGGAGGCCTTGCTTCTATTGTGAGATCAGGGAAACGATTGCGGCCAGACTTATGCCTCGCAATTCAGGCCATCACAAGTTTCTCTGTACTGTGCCGGATGAAAAGGACACACTTAGGCGATGAATTGACGAGTTAAAAGAGCGATACATCGGATTCAGAAGAGAGATAATCGCTTTAAAGGAAGACAACGGCGAGGCGCGAGTGTCGCCAAAGGCGACTTCCAAAGGCAAGTAGAGCAAACCGATAGATCCGGCGTACTATGGACCCTGCAGGCTATATAAGGAGGCGCCAGCATTGCAAGAACAGTTCGCGGATCGATGACAAGTCACAAGTCTTACAAGTGAATTTGTTCATTTATTTCATTTGTTTCTTGATGTTAATTTGTCATGTAGTTGCTCATAACTGTTGTTCGTTGTTATTGTTGTGCATAATTTCATAAAGGGTTTAATTACCCAATGAGGTATCACAGTACAAGCCCCGCGTGGCAGTCGAACAAGTGTGTACAAGTCACAAACTTTTTTACATGGAGGATAGATTTCATTTACTGCTCACTTTTTAGGTTCTGACGAAGACGAATCAGCCGAAACGTAAGCCTAATAAAAGAGTTGTAACAATTTTGGTCAAGGCTTAATAACTGCATATAAACATGCTTTCCTTTTTAGTTAATTTTGCATAGAACTGAGGAGAGTAAGGATATGTCATGCGGTATGCAGACTTCACTGTTCCCTTGATACATCAATGCAACCGATTTACGAGTCATATAGCTAAATCGATTTCAAATTGCCTAATAACGCAGGTTTTATTTCAGTTGCTCACCATTTCGGCAACTAAACATCTCCTTCATTTAATCATCGTGCTCAACTCACACCACTTTCAAACTCTGCATTTTGGTTGTTATTCGGCCAGTCATTTCGTAAACAAGATCGCATACCACTTCCCACCAGATCTCTACAATACCGCTCATAATTCGTCAAAAAAGTAGCCGGACTGCGGCGGAGTGCGCTAGAGTGCGGCGGAGTGTGGTGAAGTGTGGCGCAGTGCGCCGGAGTGCGGCGGAGTGTGGTGAAGTGCGCCGCACTCCGCCACACTCCGCCGCACTCCGGCGACTTTTTTGACGAATTATGATCGGTATTGTATATGAAGTGAGTGGAAGGAAATATACATATATTACGTGTATAATAACATCAAAAAGTGGGCGGGGCTTACAGTTCACAGCTAAACAGCGATAAAATCGATATTTTGAGCTTAGAGAACTATCAAACCTCAAAAATCGATAAAATCGACATTCTGGAGGTTGCAAAATCCCGAAAATTGGCGAAAATCGATATTTTGGAGGTTGCAAAATCCCGAAAATTGTCAAAAATCGATAAAATCGACATTTTGAAGGTTGCGAAATCCCGAAAATTGACAAAAATCGATATCCCAAAAACCGGCAAAATTGATAAAATCGATATTTTGAAGGTTGCAAAACCCCAAAAATCGGCACAAATCGATAAAATCGATATTCTGGAGGTTTCGAAATTTCGGAAATCGGTAAAATTATTGAAAAACTAAGCGAAAAACTCCATAATAAGCTTATTTCCAGTGCTTTTATACAGCTGAAACTTTTCCAAGCAAGCTCCGCCCACTTTATACCCCACGTCACGATCGAAATTAAAGAAAATAAGAAAAATTAAGAAAAAATAAGCGAAAATCGCGTTTTTCTAGCCCGATTTACCCCCTTTTTTAGCGGTTTTCAGCCCCTAACCAGGTCCAGATGGCCGCGGGAAAACTGTACACGAAGCGGTAATAAAGAGAGGGGGAAAAATAAGGGGGGAGAGAGAAAGGGGGGGAGAAAGAGGAAAAATCGCGTGTCTAAGTTTTTTTTTTCAAAGTCCGGGAAGGTTTATAGATAGGCTCCCACAGCCGGAGCCCCTACATTTTTTCCGAATTATATGTGGTGTCCCCCTCGAATACAAACTGAAGAATGGCTATCCCAGCTCGTCATCCCTACTCTCCGCGGAGATAAAATTCAAAATATGCACTATCGCCTTTATATAGCGCCTTTTACGCTGGAGCTGTGAGCACGAGCTACCCCTAGAAAAATAGAGCTACCAAAACTACATGTCAATGGCCACATGAGATTACCCCAGCCCTGCAACTCTTAGAGATATAAGGCGCCGAAATCGCCCTTATTGACAGATTTCCCAAGTTCGGCTGTCAATTAGGCACTTTAAATGGAAATTTGTTATTCTACGACCTTCTCTCTAAAAATCATATTTTCAAAGATCTGTCGAATAAAACAAACCCCAGCCCCGTAGCTGTAATATTCGCAGAGTTATTAGCCCCCCAACATGCATGCTCAGGCCGTAAAATCGGCTCTCCCAAAGTTGCTCCGTAATTCCCCCAAAAATCATGTTAGACACCTCTCTTATACCTATACACACCATATTTTTTCCAGCTTCTTAGAAGCAATACACACTGATATAGCGCGCTCTTGGCCTCTCGCTCCTCACTCTTGGCCTCGGCGTAAGATTTGGTTAAAATATTGAAGTTCTCGGATTGACTGTAAACTTCACTCATAGTGGTTTTTGGTCCCGATCTTTACGAAAATCCTATTTATTTTGCACTAGAGAGTCTTACAGTAAAGCTAAAGTGAGATAGAAGTAGCTGGACCAACCAAGATCGCAACTTCGCCTGCACTTTTCCCCTACCTGTTGCGGAAATTGTCTGCAAATTTTTGTGAGTTGAAAACTTTGTGAACACCTCTATCGGACCATGCTTAGCACAGATCTTTATTTGAATTGTTCGTCAGACTATGATGTTACAAAATCGCCTTCTCATGAATTGTCTTTCAAATTCGAAGGTCGTGTAATTTGGCAGATATTCTATCCTACAATGTGCCACCAGCAGCAAAACAATATAAGAAATGTTGTTAGCACGTCGAGTACAATACCGCTTACAGAATGTGCAAAATTTCCCTGAATATCGCAGAATTCCGAAAATTCCATAACAGACTGCTCTACATACAATACCGCTCATAATTCGTCAAAAAAGTCGCCGGACTGCGGCGGAGTGCGCTAGAGTGCGGCGGAGTGTGGTGAAGTGTGGCGCAGTGCGCCGCAGTGCGGCGGAGTGTGGTGAAGTGTGGCGCAGTGCGCCGGAGTGCGGCGGAGTGTGGTGAAGTGCGCCGCACTCCGCCACACTCCGCCGCACTCCAGCGACTTTTTTGACGAATTATGATCGGTATTGTAATGTTTGTTCGACTTGTCCAGATCCAATCGGATTGTACTTTTTTGACCGTAACACAAACAGGATTTGGTCCGCTCCAGACTAACTCGAGGTGATGAACCAGTTTTCAGCAGCCAACAAGCTTGTATCGTCGTTCTCCGCCTTTTGTTTGGGCGGAGCTTTTGCTGATTATAACACGTTGGTGAACTTGTCAAGCCTCTACTTCAAAGCATGGTTCTTTGTACTCTCTAACCTGCCACGTTTATATGCTGTTGTCACACGTGGCAGGGTTGGTAGCGAGGGATCACAAAAAACAGTGCCTTGTAGTAGAGGGTTAACAAGTTCACCAACGTGTTGAAATGTCCGTAAAAGCTCCGCCCAACGTATACCGGGGAGACAACGATATGTACCGGAATCCACTCATAAAGTGTTAAAATGCGGGAAACTACGCATGCGAGTGTAAACCCTCATCAACGAACAATTCTTCTCAAAAAACGTTCAATGTTGCGAGTAATTTAATATTACCGACGCAATGGTGCTTCAAATTCGCAAACATATCTCGGCTCAGCCAAATGCTCACACATTTGAAAACGAATTTTTGTTTTTTTCGAAACTTTCTTCATATATGTAAATGTAATGCTAATGCTTTCTAATTTTCGATTCAACCCTTTTTGGCTGATCGATTGCATTCAGAACATTGCTTTAGCACTTGCAATCCTTGTGAATCCCACGAGAATTTCTACTATTTATTTATCGTTTGAAAAAAGTTGTGAAGCCCATCACATCCTATAAATCTAGCGCTTGTACGTTCAATCTTATTCCCCTCCTTCCCTCCCACTCCCA